ATTGCATTGCCTAATAATGAATTACGAGATAAGTAACCAAGTTATTGAATCTATTTGAAGAATAAGTTGCAAGTTTAAAATTACGATCTTATTATTATCTTATTATTATTATTATTAGTATTAGAGCATGAATACAATTTAAAAACTTAAGCTATTCGAAATATTGCAATATATACTTTTATTATTAAATCAAATGTATCAACCAATAGTATTACAATGTTGAGTTATTCCGCTTTGGCTAACTGAAATTATCAGAAAAATATTTTATAAATTTATAGGATATGATTACAATAGAAAAATTTAAAAGTGATGTAACACGTGTAAAGGTGTCACGGCATCATTCACCATACTGAGTTAGATTAATTAATTAACTATTTTCATTTATTAGAAATTGAGATGTTTATATGGCAGTGGATTGTGTTGCGGTGTTTGTTAGTAGGGTAATAAATCATAGTTGAGAAATCTCCTGTGTGAGGTTCAGAGTAAATAACAAATATCTGAGAAAGTATATAAAGCCTTAGATAATGTCATGTATATGGAGAGATATAGAATAAACTGTATTAATAGTTGGTTATCTTAGTAAAATTCTTTGTCTCATTTACTGGTGTAAACGGTTAAGCCAGGATCGACCACAGAAGCGTAGTTTCTAACCTCACGAAGTTAGTGATCCTTGACGGAAAAATAATTCTAGGAATCGCTGATTTAGTGTGAGGGCTTAACCGTACTTAGTAAAAGGTTTATGTAGTTTTAATAGAGAAGATTCAGTATCACAAACGTGGTTGCGACAAAAGGTTGCACTGTATTAATGTTCTACTATGAATCTACATAAAGACATAGATTATCATACAGTTTAAGACGCAACCTGGAATCTTGATTTCTATCGATAATTTTCGTGTCTTGCATGATAGGACAGCTTTTGATGTGTCTCCAGATAATTTCAGGCATTCAGAAAGTGTGCATATTGATTAGTATGCAGCAACATCTTACATGAGAGTATTGGAGAAGCAGCTTGACATAAAGTAAATTATAAAACTCCTAACATTTAGTTTATCAGTTTTAATGACCAGAATAGTGTGTTGAGTAAGCATTAATAAATCCATGCAACTTGCGAGATTTGCAGATTGGATAGCATATCTTCGCAAGACATGTTATGAATAAGTCAAGCTAAATATGACCATTCGTGATTAATTAAGTAGTATTATTAGTCTATAGTAAATGATGATAGAGTTACAATTCTTCTGAAAGTAAAATTACGCCTAAAATATCCATTTAACCGCTAAATACGGCGATATGTATAGCAACTCATGGATAAATTTTAAATCTACGAATACACGCAATTTTCGATCTCCAAATCAAAGGTATTATTAACTACCTAATTTATCCATTACGTTTATAGCTCATCATTTTAAGTGCATACCAAAGGCGACGATGTTACAACTATTGCCTACAAAAGTAGAGAACTAGCTATGCATAATGATCAGGTGTATTACGCTAACTTTCCAGAATAATAACAAATTATATTAATAATTGCTATCATTTTCGTTTAACTAATACGGAACTAATTGAATAATATTTGAGCACCGATTCAAACAATAATTTCTACGCCATATTTATTATTTAATTAAAATACTTCACTCCTGTAGATATGTAATTCTTAAGTAATGTAATTTTAACACAGTAAATAAGTTACTTAATCAAGATTTAAAGTAGATTTTAAAATCTAACTATACCATTGTATGCTAAAATCAAGGGGTTGTAGTAAATCTACTTATAATAAAGTTTTTTCATACAGTGATGGAGCTATTTAGATTCCTACATCCTCGTATAACGTACTGGTACTGCGTGTACTGTAAGATACTAAAGTGTTATTGCAAGATTTTACCAGGGATATGATCAATTAATTTTAACATTAACATTAAGATCTTCCAGTTTATCACATGCCACTGTTAACTGTAATCGATTATAGTAGAATAATGCCTGATCAATACTATTATGGACTTTATAAATTAGATGGTTCTGCAACATGGCATTCGAGC